ATAAATTATAATATTTTATATATTTAAAATTATTATAATAATAAATTAGCTAATAAATTATTAAACAAATGCAAGTTAAACTTCCTCATAGCATTACTGCTTATCTCTGGCTAAAAGCATAAACAAAATTACATATCGTCTTGTGTCTTGAGGATAGCTTTGTGTATAATGAACGAGGTGGGACAAAGAGTTTTGTTTCAAGCTGACTCTAAAAAGATAAAGAAAACTAAGGAAACATTTGCTTTCAAAGCTGCATCACTGCAGCTTACATCAAACCTTTACATAAGTCAAAATACAAAGAGTTAACTAACTAATAATTTATATATGATTTTTAAAGGATGTTTAATTGATTTCAAATTAATTTCTTTTAAAAAAGAATTAATTTGAAATTTAATTTAGAAGTACTGAGGTTTACACTTTTATTCTCTAATTCTGGTCATACAGCTCAGGGATGTTTTACCTGTCTGAACACCATTCATGTGGCAAGTCATCGTGATCTGGATGATCATGGAAAGATTTTGGCCTCTGTCCATGCCCTTTATTAACATAATCAAAATCTTTTAACTGAGTCTGTTCCTGTAAGTCATCATAATGGTGATGGTCATGAAAAGGTCTGCGCCTTTGCCCAGGACCTTTATTATCATAATCTTTTAGCTGCATCTCAGTTTGTAAGTCATTGCGAGGCTGGCGATCATTGAAAGGCCTCGGCCTCTGCCCACAGCCTCTATTAACAAATTCAAAATCTCCTAATTGTCTCTGTGTCTGTAAGTCATCATGTGACTGATAGTCATGGAAAGATCTTGGTCTTTGGCCAGGACTTTTATTGACACAATCTAACTCTTTCAACTGCATCTGAGTCTGGAATTCATCATGACATTGGTGGTCATGGAATGGTCTTTGTCTCTGGCCATGGCCCCTGCTACCAAAATCAAAATCCTTTGACTGCCGGTCTTCCTGCAAATCACTGTGAGATGGATGGTCAGGAAAAGATCTCTGCCTTTGTCCATGGCCTCTGTTAAATTCAGTATCTCTTGATTGTCTCTCTGTCTGTAAATCATCATGAAACTGGTGTCCATGAAAAGGTCTCAACCTTTGTCCAGGTCCCTTATTACTGAAGTCTAGTTCCTTCAGCTGTGTGTCTTCTTGATAATCATCATAAAACTGGTGATCAGGAAAGGGTCTTTGCCTCTGTCCTGGTCCTCTATTGTAGTCCCAGTTTCTCATCTGCATTGGTGCTCTTAAATCATCCTGAGTCTGATGGTCATGAAATGGTCTTCGTCTTTGTCCAGGTCCCTTATTAATGAAATCAAAATCTCTCAAGTGTATCTGTCCTTGCAAATCATTGTGAGAGTGGTCATCATAAATTCTTAATCTTTTCCCAGACCTGTAAAGAAGTTTTTGTCTTAAATAGAACATCATACTTATAACCACTACAAGTTATTAACGAAAACAAGTTTTTTAACCAAGAATTGATATGAAAGATACTGCACATAAAATATATAGATAAAGCTACTAAGAATCCAAACTGTAAGAAAGATTATAAGACTTGCAATGTCATAGTAAAAGCTGTGACATTCAGTTGTAGTTCTACAGTGCCCATTAAACAGGCAAAACTAAATTAATTGAATTAAATTAAAATGAATTAAAAATAATTGTAGATTACTGTAGAATAATAAAGAATGACAGGCAAAGTAAAACACTAAATTTTTCCAAGTGAACTAATTACTTACGGACTTCTAACACCACACATTCCCTTTATTTCCCCTTATCTTTTCACTGTTCAGTCAAATTCTGTAAATATATTTTGCATAAGTAGGTTATATTAATAAAATCTCTTTTAAATTAAGAGTATCGATAGTATTTTCAAAAAGAAACAATTATCTTTCCAACTTAGTCGTTTGGGGTTTTTTGCTTTTAATTCCATGGTTCAGCCTATTACCCCTGAAAATCTTCATTTGGGAACTGTTCTACAGATCCTTCCATTGCTTGTGGTGGGGGAATAGTATCTTCATCGGAATTCCATACATCCATTCCAAGGTTACTAAGAAGAATGAAAACATCTCACATAAGCTTCCTTTTTTAAAATGTACCATTAAGACCAAAAAAACCAAAACAGAACACAAAATTCTTCAGCTTGAAATGACAGAAATTTTTATATGTTAAGTTAAATTTACAGGCATTTGTAACTTAGCAAATTATAATCTTGTAAACTTATTTGGGGAAGGGCTGCAGGGAAAGCAAAGAGAATACCTGAACGTCATAAGCTTGGAACAATATCTTAAAGGATGTGAAAACAAGCACCATACCTATTAAAAAAATCTGATGGGACTAACTTAATCATGCACAGACTATGACACAATGATAGCAGTAAAACAAAGGACATTCAATTAAACTAAAAAGACTCAAATCACTCAGATATTATTTTAAAATCAATTTACAAGTTGTCATTGACACAATTAACTTAGGAAGATGTAAAGGTTAGCTATTCTTAGGTGAGCAATGTAAAATTCTTACGCACCAGGGATACAACTACTATGAACAGGGGAGCTGAGAAAAATCTGCCACTCTGGCTAGGTTTTTTTTCTTACTTTTTTATTCCTAAAACTGATGTAATTTTTTTTTAATATCTGCTTCTACCATGCCAGCAAGAGCAGGCAGATCAGAGTTTATAAAGAAATCTTTGCAGTGGCTCCTTTCAGCTTCTAATGAGAGAATACAGACTGAATACACTTGTCATAGTACAACAAAACCACACCAATGTTCAATAGTAGTTGTCAGATTAAAAAAAACCTTTTGAACCATATAAATTCAAAACATTAATGAATGAAGTACACTGCACTTCATCATATACGTATCAGAAGTCTTAAAATATATGTGCAGTTGCATATTAAAGGTTTAAGAGAGGGTTATTTTTGGCTTATGACTGGAAGCAAGCTTTTCAAAATACCAGTACATGTACTGGAAAATCTTAACCGTACAACTAAAAGCTTTTGTTTACCTTCTTATTGGTTGTGTTCTGAGATCTGTGAGATACACAAGGCCATCCATGCGATGACCTCTAGCATCACCAAAAGCTAAAGAAAAAAGATACAAGTCTAATGAAATGTGCTCAAACTGAGCCACAGAAATGTGAAATGTTTCTGTTTGCCACGAGATGCTGCGTTTGAAACAATTCTAACTTGATATTAAATACTTCAGCAAGCTGGCATCATTGCAGTGTATTTTTAAACAACTGAGACTAGTAGGGGCAGCAACTGACTGAAAACCCTTCAAAGCAAAAGGAAAAAAAATATTAAGCAGCTTAAACATAACTCCTACTCTGCTGTCAATTTGCTAAGGATTCTATTCCAGGCAAGGCTTGAGCAACAGTCAGAGAAGATCTTCTATGGGATTCAGCACAGGAAATAACTCTTAAGGATAGTAAACTACAATTGTAGTATTTGTGAATATAACTATAGTAATTGTGAATTACAAACCGATGTGCATTAGTTCAAACTGTATAAATACCTTGGATTGCTGCCTCTGGATCCCAGCCTTCAACATCTATAAGGTATCTGAAGAAAAATATGATTAGGTTGTTGTCCCAAATGGATTACAGATTAATATAAAGGCACTATCTTTTGTGAACGAGTTCTTTTTTATACAACCCTTACCTACATATAAGGTAGCCAGTTCTATTAATTCCATTAGTACAGTGAACGCCAATGAGTTTCTCTATCAAAAAGGAAAACACAGCCTTTAATAGTTCAGAAAGTTAAATTACTAAAAAAATTAGTGCAACACTAAAAAAAGCTGTACTTTTCTAGTAAAGTAATGATAAATAATGCTTGCTATTTACAAAATTATACTGTCATGCCTATAAAAGAACAGACACATGCAGACTTTGTCCTCTTCATGCTGGATCTCTAGCAGCAGTTAGCTCACTACTTCCAAACCTGTGAAGACTGAAATTAAATCTGCAGAACATAGGAAAAAAAGAAAGAGGAGTGATGACAGGTAAAGTGGCTGGGCTTAGCCAGAACTGCAGTAGCAGGAGAAAAAGAATAAAATATGGTTTTGAAAGCAAATCTAAACAAGCAAATGTAAAATTCAGGAACTTTACTTACAGACTTTCATAAAACTTACAAAAAGGAGAAAATAAATGTATGCTCCTAGTGTCAAGGAGTATTAAATACATTACTAGAAGAATTCATTTAACCATTCATTACTGGGATGAACCATAGAGATAAGGAATCTAGGTTCGTGCATGGAGGAAGGAAGCACTCTAATGGAAACCAGTAATGTCTAAAGAAATCTTGGCTTTTTTTGGCGAGGTTATACTAATCAGCTGAAGGCTAAAAAGCAGAGGAACTTACTATTATCAGGGTGTTTCCAATGAGGTATTTCCAACAGAAAGAGGAAAGCATGAATATGGTCATGCAAGGCTCTGATAAAACCTCATCCAGACTATTCCAAACAATTCTATTTACTCACATTTAATGAAAAAAAACCAACCGGAAATATGTATAGAAAAAGTTACTATCACGGTCACGAAAAAGTTTATGAGAAAGGACCTAGGAAGCTTGTCTTACATTAGCCTGTAAAAACCAAATCTGAGATACTGAATATAATAATGGGGATGGAGAACAACAATACTTGAGGACAAAGTTGGCATAAGAATAATGTAAGAAGCAGTATATTAACTGATTGAGAGTTTTAGGCTAGATTTTTAGAAGAAAAACGTTAATCATCATCAGAACAAAGTTGTGGCAGAGACAAAGTACTGACAGATGGTCTTTGAAATGGGACTTTGATAATTTTTTGAATGAGATAAAATATAACTGCTTGCCACTGAACAGGACAGTCACATTGCCATATAAGTTTACTATAAGTTGGTGTCCTAACAATTAAAACACTAAAAAAACCCCCGACTCCTCAAAATGATAACAGAACAATCTTGAGAAATTCTAAGGTCTAAACCAGAGGGTAAGTTATAAACAAGTAAGTTAATAAAAAAAATGAAAATTCTCCCAACTCTGAAGTTAAATAAACCTTGCCAAAATTGTCTTACTAGCTGAAATTGCACATCTTCACCCAGTAACAAATTAGGACCTGATTCTCTCAATTCTGAGAAGCAGAAATAATTAGATTCAAATACAGACTATTTGTCACACAAAAAATCACTAGAAAACCATTAGAAGAAAACTAATAATTTCCAAATAATTTCCCTAAGCCAAAGAAGAGCAAAAGAAGAACTTGCACACTAACTTTCTGAGCAAGGACAAATTCTTCTTATACTTTTTAATTTTCCCAGCACTTCTAATTCAGGCTTTTATACTTTAGCTTTAGGTAAGAGCTCTTTCACAAAACAGAGTTGATGAGCCACAGCAAAACCACAGTTACGCTCTGCAGCAAAAACTCTGCACTTGGGCAGCTAATATCTTTACTTTCTCAGAAAATGCCAAAGTAACCACAACAAATAGCATGAAAAAGCTTGAGAGAATGGTCCTCCAATATTGGATAGACAAACAGTTAAAATCTGCCCACAAGGAATCACTAGCAAAAAAAAAAAAGTGAAAAGGTAAAAGCTGCAAACAGACTGTGGCAAAATACATGCAAATTTATTTTCGCAAAAAGAGCCTTATACCATCTCAGCAAGAACTGTACTATTGCATAAACACTAAAACAGCAGCAGATCCATGCTAACACTGTGTCTGTAAAACAATTCTTAAGAATTGCTAGGATATGAGGGCAATAATGGATGCATATATCAAAAAAACTGCTATATCACACTAAAAGGACTTAAGCTGCTCACACGTATCAGTGCCTAGTGCCATCAGAGAAACCCTGGGCTATTTAGAACATCCATAAAGGGCTGGCAGCTACAGCACTAAGCTGATGGTAGACAACTTGGGTTAGACAGATGAAAGCCTTGTTGCAGCTGCTTTGACATATAAAGCAAATATAATAGTATTAGGAAGGGCACTTACGTTACTAATCATTTTAGAAAGAGACATGTTTTGAGTACAAAAAAGATATGTAGTGGTTCACATAAATTATCTTATTATGATAATGAAATCAAAAGTACTATTGAAACTCTGAGATCCCTGGTGTCTTAAATATCTATTGAAATTAACACATGATACAGTTAACACTGAAATATTTTTTTGGGGTTTTTTTACCATTTCCTGCATTTTCCCATAGGAATTTTCTGACCCATTTTTTGAACTGTAGGATAGTAGCATTATCAGGGACTTCAAGTCCAACAGTATATAGTTTCTTATACTGCACGCTTTTAGGTAAATCCTAGCAATAAGAAGAAAAAAAAATGGTAAAAATTATTGAAGTCTTGCATCAAGTATCTAACATAATGCCATTGTAAAACAGTATTTCAACTCCCGAGTAGAAATTGAAAACAATCTCAACACAGTTCTATAGATACACTCTCAGAAACTATTTATGCTTCCACTTCAAAGACCTGGTCTCAAACAAAGAACAGTTTCCACAGAAGACTTATTTAACCCTGCTAATAAGGCAGCACATTAACTAAAGAGAGCAGATTCTTGTAATTTCATTCCAATCCATTTTACAATTATTAGCAATATTTGTCCCTCCCATCCACAATCATATGTATACTCACATATTCACCCCCTTAATACTTACAGCACATGTATGTTCAAAGATTAGCATTCAGTTATAACGCTGCTATTTAGTCTCCTTTTCAATAGGAGGCTGATTAATCACAATTGTTTTGATCATACTGGTAAAAAATTTGAAATCGATAACATAGTTTAAAAAATGTACACTTTCTTAGTGGATTCCACTGAAGATGAGTTAAATAATCATCCTAGAAATAAATGAGAAGGTCTTCAGGACACAGACTTTAAGTCTTCTGCATCTTTTCTGTGGTGCCTGGCACTGAAGCCCTTAAGTCTTTATACGCTACTCTAAGTTACTATAATACACATAAGTCATAAATGCAACTAGCTGGCAGAAGGAGTTATTTCCTCTGTGACAGAACATTCAGTTTATATTGGAGACACAAAATAAGTCTAGATGGCTCACTTGTCTATTGCCATTCAAGTAAGCAAATGTGTAAATATTTAAAAACAAAGGTTACAGTAACTGTTTTATTTTGTTACTATGCTTATGTTACCTTAACTTCATAGTATCGTGTGGTATATGTTAAATCAATAATTAATCCAAGCTCAACATTTAGGGATTTCATTGCAGCAATTAAGTCTTTTGGTGTAAATTTCTGGGTTGGGGTAAGCCTCTGGTTAATTGCCTACAACAAAAATGGAAAAGAAAAATTTTCCTTTTACATTCCAATAACAAGACATTTGTAATATTCAGCTGTTTTAATCAGGACTAGGAAACATCAGTATTCAAAAGGGAATGTTTACAGTATCAGAACCATATCCATTTACTATATGTATAAAAGGAACTAAATAAAAAGAGAGCAAGAATTTGTTGCATTTTCATCTGAATAGGAATATACAAGAAAATGTGTGAGAATTTCCAGTATACAATGTTAACATTAAAATAAGCACTAATTTGATAGACACAAAAATGCTGCAAAATGCAGCATATATACACTGATTTTTAAGTAACTAAACATCAGCAAAAAGCAAAACACCTCCTTCCTCCAAACTATCCTGCACAATTACACAAAATTAACAGTGTTTCACATAAAACATTAGCAGTTGTGCTAGAAGAGTTAATTTCTTCTACAGGTTTTAACTTTCTCCCCATAAATATCCCTCCTTCATCTCTTGGCAGAGTGCATTTGCATGTCATTTAGCACTGGGAAATATTAAATAAAACTAAAATACGGTGACTATGAAAGCTGCATGTTGGTGGGTAATGAATAATTAATTTCACTTGACAGAGACAGTGGGAAAAATGTTTACTCACCCTATTGTAGCTGTGTTTTTTGAAATGTGTTCTTCACTCTAGGTATGTAAATGCCTCATCTAAGCAAGAGTGGATTTTTTCTGAATAGTGTGCTTGTCCATCGTGAGAGCCTTTAGACGCAGGCTCAGCCACAACCAATAAAAACAGTGGCAAAAGATGCAGGTGCCTCAAACACCTCTCAGTTTCTTTGTTAACAAAAAATTCAACCAGACTTGACTCAGAACTAATGGAAAGGAAGGCAGCCACAGACCACATAGCTCTTAGAACTACAGATGCTATAGGGTAACTAACCATTCCTTTTTACTGTACAGATTATAATCTAAGGTGCTTTCAAGCATTTATCTCAAGTCTGGAAACAGAGACAGGAAACTAAATTAAAGAATAAACAGCAGGACAGTTCTATCAAAGCTGGTATGTGATTAGAAAGCTTAAGCTAAAATGAGTAGAGTAGAAAGCATATAGGAGCATTCTATGTATTTCTGATACTGGTGCTCCGCTAGTGGTTGAGGTTGTTAAGGTTCAAACAAAATAAGCATGAGTCAGTTATCTCACTCCTATTCAGCAGTGACTTTCAGTAAAATCTGAAACTGAACTTACTAACTTTGAGGTGATAATGATGAATCAGCAGAACAAAGATTTTTTTCTTTTGCTATGTGAGGTCACACAAACTGAGGTACAATACACAAATATAATACAAAAATAAGATCTTGCTAAACACTGCTCAACTGAGTAAACAGTTACATGTATTATGAAAGACTATGTTTTGGAAGACTATTTGGAATTTTCTGAAAAACTCCTGTTGAGTATTCAGTAGTTTAAGTGTTTAATAGGGCTTTGAGAATGTGAGAAATCTGTTTCAATTCTATAATCCTTCTCATGGCATGGGAAAGAACTTGCCTAGTCCTTACTATACTACAGTGTTACTGTTAGTATTACAATGATGATCTGAAAGGCAGGACAGAAAATCCTTCCAAGTAAACCCATGATCTTAAAGCCTTTACTAGCAGCACATCTTCTGCTAAAACAATAACCCTTGAGTCTTGAAATACTGAAAATATGCTTCTTCCCTTTGGGTATCAATTTCCTAATAGGTAGCAAAGAAGAAAACTGCTCCATATTTAAGAGGTCTGTGCCACCAATTTAATAATAGGACTTCTGACAGACTATGACCAATCAGGTCTTCAGCATTTCCAGACAGATGCAATGACCTCTACCATCTTCACAAAGACATCCCAGTCTAGCCAGTTAAGCATTTTACATGTATTCTGCCACAAACTCCACAAGCTTCAAGCACAGTCTCTGGCAGACTTGTCATTTCTGTATCTTGTATACTGAGACTGAACAAACTGAAGGGACAGAAATGTTACAGATTTTGCTTTCTTGGGTACCAGACTTTGTATCTGGCCAAGTTCAAAGACAGCTTCACAGAACAGGGATCTATGCCCCAGCAAGATCAGTAGTACTGATGTACTACTGATATACTTTACTACTGTAAAGCACTTTACTGTAGTACTTTACTACTGTAGTACTTTACTACTATTTACTATTTACTACTACAGTATTACTGTAGTACTTTACTACTGTAAAGTACAGAGTACTTTATGATCTCTGATGGAGCTCCTTCCAGACTATCACAGGAACTACAGGGGAAGAGTTAAGTTCACAACGAAGTATCTTCCTCTGAAATCTGGAGCAACAGGAAACTAGAAAAGCAAATCCTGCCGAGAAGAATGCATCTACACAAAAAACTGGTGCTGGATTGAGTGGAACTGCAGAACCTGATGATGCAAAAAATCCTCTCTCAAATATCTCAATAGCAAAGAATCTAATTATAATTCTACTTAATTTTATATCAGCTGCTAGATCTGTACACTGGCTGTCTTTGGTAGAAAGACACATGGTAGACACTATCGTAATATCCATCAGTACCATAGAGAACATGACCAATGTCAAGTATGTGATCCTTGGAGTCAAATGAACCAAACCATCATACAAAAGTTGTAAAGTAGCTGTAGGAAGCAAACCCTGCAAGCATTTCACTTCAGTCATTGCTGAGAAAAGTGCATGGAATGGTGACTGAAAATGTAACGGGCACTAATATACCAGAACAACCAAATTTTTTTATATGAAAACTAGAGTGCAATCTGTAAACAGCTTAGACAGAATACATATATTCCAATACCTGAAAGGTGCCTATAAGAAAGCTGGGGAAGAACTATTCACTAGGGCATGTAGCAATAGGACAAGGGGTAATAGTTTTAAACTAGAAAAAGGTAGATTTAGGTTGGATATTAGGAAGAAGTTCTTCAATATGAAGGTAGTAGATCACTGGAACAGGTTGCCCAGAGAGGTAGGGGAGGCCATCCCTGAAGACATTCAAGGTCAGGCTTGATGGGGCTCTGAGCAACCTGATCTAGTAACATTGTCCCTGCTCACTGAAGGGGCGTGGACTAGATGAGCTTTAAAGGTCCCTTCCAACCCAATACATTCCATGATTCTACGATTCTATATCCTCTTAACTGCTAAGGTTATGTCTGGCCACTGAACTTCAAAAGAGCTTAGAAACTTTTATTTCCTGTGTATCTGAAGCAAGAACTTATAGCACCTCTGTGAATTCATACAACAGGGCAAATTTCCCCTACTTGCCTTATGCCTCAATTCACCAAAGAGCTGAAGAGTCTAAAAAAGACAACCTCCACATTTTGTACTATCACAAAGAATTAAAAGATCTGACTCTGTGTATTTAACAGATTAAGATGGAACTCCACATTAGTAAGAATCTAAAGGAAGTACTAACACAATAATAATGGAAATCTATGAAAATATACTGCATTCCTCCAAATCACTGAAGTTTTTTGCTTATGAAACTGGTAATCTGAATCTATAATTTTAAAAGCATCGCAGTGGCTGGTATCCTTTAATGAGTGCTTGATTTCTGTAAAATTATAATTTGGCTTACATTGTCTAGATTGTTACTCATATCATAACTTCTTTCGTATTGTTTTCTTAACAATATGTTAAATAAGATAATGAATGTACGCCACTTAATAGTGATCAAATGAACTGTGCTGATTGGTTAGAGATTTTATGATTTTTAAAAGATAAAAAAAAAGAATAACAACATACACAAATTTTAAAAGAAAGATTAAAAGTATAGAATATTATGTAAAAAAAGCCACTAGCAGATAACTGGAAGGGCTAGATCTGAATTTTTAAAGAATTTTTTCCATAAAACTTCCCTGAAGTTTGTATGAATTTTCACACTATCTTCATTACTTTTGCACTGTATCTAACAGAGCTGATCAGTACTTTTTATACATACCCCTTTTAAAGGTACTTTGAATGCAATAAATCTAGTTCCTGGTATAGGCTGTCCAACTGGTGTCAAACTCCGCCATCTGAAATGAAACAAATATTTATTTTCAAGGGTTTTCAAATGATACGATTCAACAGGGGACACATGCAGCTTCCCGAAAAACTCCTCATATTAAAAAAAAAAAAAAAAAAAGATATTTCCTCTTAGGATTGAAAGTTTGGTAAAACAAAGTACATAAAAATTGTGCTCCTTTAAAACTATAATAGCAATTATACCAAACTATGTGAAGTACCTTAAAAATATCAGGCAAATCTGGTGTCATACTTTGCATAGTTTGAATATAATAGCTTCTTCAAACTTCTCCAAGTAGAAAGACATAATAGTTATCTTTTTTGATATGATGGGCCATGCAGCTACCAGCATAATATATTAAGATTTACAAAAATGCTTTACAAAAGTAGGATTTAATCTGACAGCCAGCCATATTCACATGCACATGTTTAGAAACATTCTGAAGGTATGCAAAAGTAAAAAATCCCAACCACAAAAGACTAATTACCTTATGTTGTAAGGCAATTTAAAAAAAATGCCATAAATTACAAATTCAGATCTTTTTAAACCTGCTTTCTCTTGGAAAACTGTGAGTGGAAATCTACCATGGTTATTATTAAATACGAGCAATTATGACCCAGTAAGAAATTATCAAAAAAGGCTTAAAACTTTATTTTCTTTAATTAGCAGTATAACAAAGTCTTTGTAAAAATTCTGAACTTGTTTTCAGATTCAAGGATTGACAGAACAATGCACCAGGATTATGCAGTTTGTTGTCAAATCTTAATAAACTTAGGTTTTTATTCTCCTGTTTTTAAAGCCATTTAAATCCTCCCAGAAAAAATAAATAAATTGTGAAATCAACAAGAAACTCAAAAGCTGCTGATAGCTCTACAGTAGAAAATAAGCAGAAGGCACTCTTCATCAAAAGATATAGTGGATACGTGTTCCATGTTATCTTAAAAATTGTATTTTAAAAGGGTATTTCAGCATACCACTGCAGAACTAAAAATTATTTCAAATTAAAAACAGCAGATTGAGATGAAGCAAAGACTAGCTAAGGAAATAAATTCAAATTTGTTCTGTTGTCAACAGAAGAATATAGTTGTGTATCTGTCAGGGACTAAAGAAATTAAAACTCTTACAGAAGAAGTCTAGATAAAGGTAGAAAAGGACCAAAGAAGTCCTTCTTTGAGTGAGCTGCAGGTGGTCACATAAACAGGAGTTAGAGGAGCAAACACATAAATAAGTATTTTAACAAGTATGAATGAGAACTGTAACACACAGTTTGTTTCCTGTTTGAGCTTAAGTGCAAGGAAGAAAGCCAGGAGTCAAAGGTGTTATCACAAGATTTTACACCATCATCATTCCCATACCAAGAACTAAAAGGTAATAGAGCCCGGAGGGGAAAAAAAGCGGGAAGCAAAGTAGGTGAAGACTTTCCTGAAACAGGGAGCAGTTATCACCAGTGAAATTTATCTCTATGCCTAGAAATAAATCTAGGCATTTGCACAACAGCAGTAATACCTCTGGCCATAGAACTGATGGCATTCACATTAGACAGATGTTGTGATAAGAATCTAAAATGGAATTGTGTAAGTTCAGAGAAACACTGCAGTCTCCTAACAAAAATACTCATCAGAAGAAGACATATTCAGGAAGAAACTGAAGTCTGAGATCTGTACAAAACACAACTGTTGTGAACTTGCAGACAATCTAGGTCAGCACACATTAATGCAAACTATGATCTTAAAATCTGTGGTATTTCTGCTCCTTTCACAAAATAGAGAGATCAAAGCTCCTTCAGAATATCAAGTGTGTAAAAAGAACTGCAAATAAATCTCTTAAGTTTCCATCAAAATAGCTGTGATAGGCTTTTATGGGCCAAATATGGTAATAAAAAATTTTCTGAACTCTAAACTATACAAAGCCATAAAAAAGCAGAAATTGCATGTTCAAACAGAAAAGTACTTGAGAGAACAGCACTGAAATAAAAAGCGATGTATTGTGCACATGTGATACAATTTCAATTACAGCCTTATTTTTCTAATTTTTCAAACAGGTAAACAATCCATGGACTACATACAGAACAAGAATTGAAAGCTCATGAAACAAATTAATTATTTAACTGTTTAGCTTTCAAAGTTCCCACCTGCCTATCATGTTTTTGTCTTCATCACTCCTCAACTACCATTATCTTAAAACAGGCAAAATTTTGCTTGCCATTCTAAACAAAAGAATCACTTCTTGGTTGAGAAAAAAGTGTTAAAATCAAACTAAAAAAATCATTCTCCTTTCCCTCTGAAATTTCTGTGATGCTTGAATGACTTTCAATTAAATAAATAAATACAATTATTATTGATACTACAGACTCTAGTCAGCTAATCTGTTAGACGTTTTTAAGTCTAGTTTACATGAAAATGTATTACTTTGCTTATGTATTTTAATTTAAGTGAAAATGTTTTCTTTAATCTAAAAATTTCAGAGCTGTTCAGTAAAATAAACTAGCTTCATGCATTCTAGTAGAAGTTTACTAGATATGTGATCTAGATTAACTCAAGAATCCAGCATCAATATGTTTTGTAACAGCAGCAACCAGTGAAATGGCCTCTGTTCAAGGACAGAAAGAAAAAAAAAAACAGCAACAAACTTAGAAAAGCATTTTTATAAAACAAACAGCTCCAAGACCAATCAACTAAGGATCATCAACAGGGCCTGCATAGCAGTGTCCAGCTTAAAAGGGATAACAGAAGAATTTCTAGAAATGCCCAGGATAAAGACAACCTGACAGTTAATGTGAGTAAGGCAAAATTTATTACTCATCCTGATGCCTTTTTAGTTAAAGGTATGTTGAATACCAAGATAATAATTCAAGCAAAGAACATTATAATAGCTATATTTTGCATAAATTTTGCTATTAAAATAGAAGTGATAGCAAAGATGTTTATGTAAGTCTTTAAACATACAAAACTACATATCGATTAACTGCAAAACATAGCACAGATTGTAAATATCAGTAATATTTGTAATTATTCCACATATTTTTGCAATGTAGTTAAGAAAACTTTATTCCTTTGATATAAGCATAATTTGTAGTTGTTAAAAGTAAATCTTACTATGAATCAATTTTAAAACTTAGAAAATTATACTGGAAATTACAGCTACAATACCCCCTTAACAGAAATGTTAAACTAAAATATGACAAAACTGTGTGTTCGACACCTGGCTCTACTAAAAGTTTTAACTGAAGCAGATAAAATATGTAGCTGTATGTAATTCATACTCAACCATTTAAAAAGATGGACACCTCACTGTTTATTTTCTTCTGTGATTTTTTTTTTTTAAGGAAAAGATTGTATTTCACATAAAGATATTATGGACATTTTTAATGGCAAGCTAGACAAGAAAGCTACTAAGTAATTCATAGATACAACACTATGAATTGGAAATAATTTGAAAGTTTCATGTCTTTAGTTTTCAGATCTCAATGACAGTTATATAAAAATACAGAGCACAACTGTCAACAGATACCCTACACATTTGTTATGACAAAACAGTTAGAACTCACTGGTCTTTCTAAAGCCCATTTTAGATTGCCTATGAAACTGATGTTTACATTACCATACTCAAAAAAAAATATCTCTGTATTCTAATAACTCTAGAGAGTAATTATGGTATTTTTGACAAGGAAAAAAACCTTTAGTTTTGACACACTGCAAAGACAGAACACAGCAACTGAACAGGTTAAAAGTGGAAGGGAATTACTAGGTATATAGTGTTCTAGCTTTGCTTTTCTTCAACTCCTTTAAGTGGGTTCAAATAAGTCATAGCTTGTAAAAAACCAGCGTGGACGTAAAGCATGGGAGAAAAGTTTCTTTATTGTGTCAATAAGTATTTGCATAGCTTTGCAGTTGTTGTCATGTACTGTGACAGAAAACATGGGCCTTCAAGTATTATAGCAATGTTACTATTACTCAGGTATCATAAGTAGTAATTTCTCTTCATCTCCCATTTTAAAATGCAAACGTTCTATGCCTGATGGTACGAAGCACTCTTACTTTACAAATAAACTCTCACCCCGTCTCTCCCATCCACCCCTTGAACTTCCACCACAGACTTCAACATTACTGTCTAAATGAAAATGCTGATGCTTTTAAGTCTGCACAGTTGAGCCATTATGTTTATGGTGCAGAAGCAGAAATAATTTGGATCTGTTCTTATAACAAAAAGATCCCACTCCTGGTATTTTTTTTATACCACTTAAGAGAAACATGCAAGAAGACAAGATTTCTGCAGATGCTTTTCAGAACTGAACCTGAGTTTATGGAATAATACCCACAGTAGGATTTGGGATGCTGATGCAAAAACATGTACAAATCTGGAAAAACAGCACAGTATTTTATGACTGTTTGTTATTTAACTTGAACTCCTTTTACTGGCTGGTTCTCCACTTAATTATTATAGTAAAACTACTGGACAATAGCATTTTAGACACTGTGAAGAATCAGCACATCACTACATGGTGGAAATTGCAGTGCAAAGGGTCACCTGAATTCCCCTCTTATACTGATGTCTCATTTTTTTACAAAATTACTTCTCCAGCACTACTTTCTAGGATTGAAACTGCAATGGACACATTACACCTTAGCTCTGCTCCAAGATATTACTGGGAAAAGGGAGAAATGCTTTTTACAATGAAAGAATACAAGAAGTCTTACTTCCAGTCTACTTCCTCTTCTCACTGCTGGAGCAAAGATGGTGCAAATAGCATCAGATCGAACATTCTGGCTAGGGCGGAGTGACAGGGACACAAGAACAAGAGTGACCCAAGAAGAACAAGGTACAAGACCGGTAGTGCAGATGCAGTGACAACACTGACAATTAACATTACTTTCATATTACTTTCATATTATTTTAGGTGCTGAGTACACTGAGAGTGGTGAGCAAGCCTGCCCAGTGCTACAGCACAACCGTTACACAAAGGCAACTCCAATTACAATGCAGAGTACAGTTAAAGGCGATAAGTAATTAGATGACCAATTAAAAAAAAACATTTTTTGTTTAGTTGCACTGTTCCTAGCTACCTGAACTTAACTGAAACCTCAAATTTATTTTATTGCTTTAATTAGCATAACAGAGTTTGGATTAAAACTGCTGAGAATTGCATAAAGATTTGAGTCAGTAACAGAAAGACAACCTTAAAAAAATGTCTACAAGTAATGTGACAGTCTTATCTACTACAGTGTTTCTCTTGCAGTATAATTAAAACCAAAACAGTTACAGTTTTATTTATTGCTATTACAATACTGTGATATAATTGAAGTTCTATTTCCATAGTATGCTACCATCTAGACTGGTCCTTTATATCACAATCTCACTTCTGCTAACAACTAATTCTGAGGCCAGTAAATTGCACGTGCAGGATCACTTAAGTTAAAATTAGATTTCTTGAAGTCCTCTTCTGGGATTCACTGCTATTTTTTCCTGGTGTACTAATCTAATTCACAGTGAAGAACTACAACATGCTGTGCTAGCAAAAGGATGACATCACGATACTGCTGCATGAGACTGGGAGACAGACAATTCATTAAATTCCTTTACTGACAAAAACCCAATAGTGTGGATGTCTAGCCTGATTTGTTAATCGTATGAAAAACTAAGTACCTGGAGAGGCTGACAGCACTTCAGTATCATGAGCTTTGTCAGATGGTAATGCTAACTTTATAACCAATTACTCCACAGGAGATGTTTCTCTCCTTGAAAGATACAGCGGTATTATTTTTCAGTCATAGAACCAAAAGTACAGTCCACTGCTTCTTCTATATTTAAGAGAAGAAATGAATGTAGCCTGAAAGCTGCTCCAGGTCAAATGCGACGGGGGAAATGAAGGGAGAAATTAGCACCCAATTCTCAAAAGTCTTAGCAATAATTTCCCAGTATGGAGAAAACACGGACAGTTATTCTTTCAAGCTTTCTGCATTACTGCTTGCAAACCTAAGCCATTTTAGCTCAATTTTGCTCAACTTTTAACTGAAATTTCACAGAAACTTTCAGAGAAAGACATGCTTAAATAGCTTTTCTAAAATTTTATTCTAATTTTAATACCCAAGTTTGTCAGCTGTGAAAAAACTTCAAAGTTTCTTGAAGTTATTTTTAAAAAATAGTTTGTCTTTTGTTTCTAGTTACTGCTTTTAGGCAAACATATTTTTCAGGAAAAAATGCTTTCTGTATTTTACTGCTCCTCCTAACAATGTTCTTAATAAACTTAACACTTCACCTGAAACCAGGATAATGTCAACCTTTCCTCAAATAATGTATAAACTACAAGTCACTGTTCCATTAGTGTGCTTTTATATCTCAGCGCACCCACCTATCCAAGAAGTTTATACTGACAGAACACTTGGGCTAAACTTTTAAACTTGGACTTCCTCTATTTATATTTTTTTTCAGGAGAGCTGGAGAATAGAACTGTATCTGATTTAAATGTGACCATTTTGTGGTCCCCATATACAGTCCCAATCAAGTAATCAGAAAGCCTATACAGTGTACTGGGTTTTTTAAATTATTATTTTTGCTGATAAAACATTTTTGTTTTCCTCTTGTTAAAAACAAAAACACAGGATGTTTCTGGACCAGAATCCATGAAAATATTCCTTGATCACATGCATGCAACCACCTGCTCCCATCTTATCAGGTCGTCTCCCACTCCTTACCAGGAGTTTGCTACCATAAACATCTGAGTAGTCAGAAGGATGGACTACTCTCCTATTTCCCCAGTAAGTATACACCTGGGGGTAAGAAGGTTAGGAAGAAGGGACTGTGTTCAGCTGATAGAGAAGTGTTCACAGACAGGCTGGAGCATTATACTCACCCGGGGGATGAAAGGCTGGGTTGTTCCTGTCTTGGAGAAGATACCTGCCTTACCTGGCTGTAGGTGGTGAACATGGTTGTGGCAAGAAAGCGCCTGGGGTAGCCAGTGCCCCTTCTCTGGGGGCAGGACAGTGACCACTCCTGCCTCTTGCTTAGTGTGAGGGATACTTACCCATGTGGGATTGTATTCTTCTTTACCATGCTGAAAGCAGGAGCAGGCAGAGCAGGAAACAACGGTGAAAGTGAGCACTGCAGCAAAGGAGAGAGAACCGCGCAGTTAACACGGTGCTAATCTCTTTCTCCATCAGGGGGCCTTTTCACAGGGTTGATTCTTAAGTAAAATAAACCAAACAGTCAGCTGGGGTTTGAAGCCATCCTGAACAAGTCCTGCAGCTTGCAAGCTAGCCTATTTTCTCCACTGTTACAGTACAGCAAGAGGGAAAGACAACTCACCTCTCCTCTCCAGATCAAAAGAAACAGAGAGGAGTGGCAGCAAGTTTCTCTCTAACTCTAGCAGCAGCGCTGCAGGGGTGAAAATCTTCCTGGCAGTCCCTTCCGTCCCTCTCCTGTGACTCGGAGCAGTCTGCTCTGCACTTGTGCTCCCACAGGTAGAACTCTTGTCTCAACGAGAAGAAACTCCAGGCAACTGCAAGAGGCAAGGCCAGCACCTCAGAAAGGGAAGTACCATCATCTACCCCACTCTTAACCTAGACAGGCCCGATCCCGCTAGATCCTGGGCACCGTCAGCACCCACCGAGCTCAGTGGGACCAGGGCAGGAAGGTGAGGGACGAGGGGAGGTCCCCTCTGCCGCGGAGAGCTCATGCCCGCCACTCCAGCAGGTGGTGGGGGGCCCCCCCCCTAAAGGCTGCATCCCCCCGCCAATACAAGGAGCTCCGGGGAGGACCGCCTCCGAGGCCGGCTTGGGGCGCTCCCTTAGCGCTCTCTTAGAGCTCGAGGGAGGAAATACCAAGGGGGAAGGTCGCGGCCCGACTGCGGGGGGCCGGGCAGTCGGCTGTAGGAGAGG